TAAAGAGGGTCTTCTCATAACCACTAAACTTAAGAGAGATTTTACGATATTATGAATGTTAGGAGTAACCATTTGATAATCATCCAAAGTCAAGTGGTTTTCTGAAATTTAGCCCAATTAATAATCAATATTAAGATGATAAATTCCCGTACTCCCATGCAAGAATTCTACTTTGTTTTACTCTATCTAGGTAAAATAAGATAATTTCTGTTAACATGAAGTTTATAATTTAAAATTTTAGTTCACGATAATCATACTCCCTTTAAAAACACGAGTTCGGAAAAATCTTTTTATGGTCAATATTATCTTTCGCTATTTTAAATATTTTATTTATATATTAATTTATCCTAATCATAATTATATCCTATCCTAATCCTACGTGAACTATATATAACTTAACAATTTTAAAAAAATAATATTAATAAAATATATAAAACATCTTTTTATGATATTAGTTTGTAAAGATAAAGATATTATACGTAGCTAACGTACTATAATACATAAAGTATTACAAAAAACCTAAAAAGTTTTAAAATTGCACAAAATATCCTAAAAAGTTTAAAATTATAAAACTATCCCGACGTCTAAAAACTTAAAAACAACAAACATGAAATCAAGAAATTAACAACGAAGAATTTAAAATTTACGGATAACATCTCATTATCTCAAAAATTATAGAAACACCCTCAAAAATTTAAATTACAAACAATCACCTAAAATTCTAAAATTTCAAGACTTACAAACAACATAGATGAATTCAAGAGATTATCATAATGCACCTGAAAATTTCTGATATTTTAAAACTTAAAACAACAAACATGAAATTAAGAAATTAACTGCAGCCTCTGAAGAATTTAAAATTTTTAACTAACACCCCTAATGTCCCAAAAATTATAAAAACTCCCTCAAAAATTCAAATTATAACAGCAACCCTAAAATTATAAAAACTTTAAAATTTACAAACAACAAAAGATGAATTCAAGAGATTACCCTCATGCACCTAATATTTTAAAATTTACCGAACTTAACCTCAAAGTTACAAAATTTGAAGAAAAAATCTTTCATAATTTAAAAATTACAAAAAAAACTCTAAAATTTTAAAATTTATAACCAGTACACATCAAATCTGAAAACTATTGGTAGACTGCCAAAATTTCAATTTTTTAAAAATTAATCTATAGTTTTACCAATTGCAAAGAACAGGCTCAAAAATTTAGAATTGTTAGAAATATTGTGACATTTGAAAATTACCACAAACACATGAAACATAGAAGTTATAACTATCAAACTTAAAAAGTAACTTTTTAAAAATGCTCCCAAAGTTTTAAAAATTACAAATCACACCCTTATAGTTCCAAACCATAAAAAGAAAAAAAAAAAAGCTGGAAAATTTTAAATTTTGCCAAAAAAAGTGTAACACTGTTAGATATTTCTTATATATATATATATATATATATATATATATATATATATATATATATATATACCAAAACTTGTGTCCACTTAAGTGGACATCCACCAAACTTTTTAACCCTTGGATATTTCCTAGGGATCCTTGCATGATATGAAGTGACTTTTTATATGTTAAATGAGTGGATATAAAGTTTGGTGGACACAAGGCTCTTGTCCACTTAAGTGGACACAAGTTCTCCCTCTCTCTCTCTCTCTCTCTCTCTCTCTCTCTATATATATATATATATATATATATAATTTTCAATTTAGAGTTTACTATCCCTTTTCAGCATCTAAAGACAGTCTAAGTTGATACTTGTAAACAAAAACAATAAGAATTGATTAAAAATATCCGGTTAAGAAATAAATTTTTTTTAAAATATTATAGCTTAAAAATTATCGTCACCATATAAATTAAAGCAACTGCATAAAATTTTATTAATAAGTTGAAGCAGCAAAACACATTAGTAACATTAATTGATAAATGTTTAAATCCATAAAAATGATAAAAGACTATAATATAATAGCTTAGCATTAATTAATTATAATTTAAGTTTAAATCCATAAAAATGATAAAAGACTATAATATAATAGCTTAGCATTAATTAATTATAATTTAAAAATATTAATATCTGATGTTAATAATATTAATATAATAGCTTAGCATTAATTAATTATAATTTAAAAATATTAATATCTGATGTTAATAATATTTATAAGTAAAAGAATACAATGAATTACGTATGAAGAAACTATCAAAATGTTTAGAGATGTCATTCAAAAGAATCAAGCTATTTCCATTGCAGATGGGAAAATGACGGAAATAAATCTAAAATTCAGAAAAGTTCTATGAATTATTTGAATTGCCATTAACATAAGGCTTGTCTATTAAATAAGCACCAACTGAGTTACATTGAAGAATAATTTAATAACTTTATCCCAATCAAAGAAGAATTCTTCATGGAAGATGTAAGAAAAATTAGTAAGTATTCATAAATTTCATACTTTGTTCTTCAAATACTAAAAAAATTAAATATTAATATTATAATCTAAGACAAATTGGTAATAAAAAATATAGGTATTTAGTTTAGATCTTTGTGTAAAATAACAGGGATAGAGCAAATGTAATAACAGAAACTCTTATTGGATGTACATCAGAAGAATTCATTGTAGCAAAAAAAGAGTTAGCTCCTAATCTTATTTAAGTAATAAATTAGGAATACAAAGAATTTCATATATATGAAATTAATATTTATTCTCATTGAAATAAAAAAATCAAAGTCTGTATTTCAAGAAGTTTGTGTTGAACATCGAAAATACATTTAACTTCTTTATGAAGTTAAACAACAAGATAAAAGATTAACGAGCCCAGGAACAATAACAGCACAAAAAGAACAACTCTAGTCTGATGTCACAATCGAATAGATGATGAAGATACTACTCTAGAATTGCTCGAGAAAAAGATAAAAGTGAGGAAGGATTGATATTAGCTCAGTAAAAAATAATTCAAAAGGAATAAAAGATAATGTTTTCTGAATATTTTATAAAAATAGTTTAATTATTTTGAGCATCTTTAGAAGGGAGTTTCATAAGCTTTTTTAGTACTTTTATATGCTTGTACAGATGCTTTTATCATATCAATGTATACTAGAATTAGCATTAATCTTTAATTTATAATTTTTAATAAAATCTATCAAAGATTAGGAACAAACTTTATATTCTCTTTTGTATCGTTTTAGCATACTTTTAAGCAATTATTTTGTTTTATTGGTTTTAAATATTCACCTTCATTGTATAATATTGTTTCAATATTTTTTTACTTTTGCAACACTGTACTTTCTCAAGTAAAGCTTGGTTTCATGTCAATCAAAATAATATGAAAATTTAAATTAGCTTCAAATTATATTTGTCTTCTATCAATTCAAATATTAACATAAAAATTTAAATTGGGTGTAGCCTATTTAAACAAACATAAAAAAAATAACTAATTGCAATATTAAAGTTTAGAAACAAAAATGAGCATAAACTATTAAAGTGGAAATGAAGAATAAATATTAGTTAGAAAATAAGCCAAAAATACTTAATCATAATATTTAACCACGTACATTGCACGTGTATAAAACCTAGTAAGTTAAAATAGAGACTTCATATTGGTTTAAAAGTTTTTCTCCAAAAAAAAAAGGCCCATGAATATTCATTATTGACTCGTGGTTACATTATCAAACTTAAGTTTCACGTAAAAAAGAAAAAAGAAAATATTAAAATCCCAAGATTCCAGGCAAGAAATCCTAACTAACTTTGCCAAATCTGATTTTCCTGACTTCACCCAAAAGAATGTGCCCTTTGATCATGCTTTATTTACATCCCCTTTATTTTAACCCTTCAAAATCCCAAACAAAACAAGAAGAATATTACCAGAATATTATTTCCTCTCCTGAACGGATCCTTGAAAATCGCCTGCGGACTATTAACCAAAAAATGATTAAAATACTATATAAAAAAAAGAAGCAAGAATTAAACTCAAAAAAATAATTAATTCAATACTTCACTTACTATAAAATCACTTCACTGTCATCACCAGGCGCTTGGCCCGTGCTTGATCCGTCGTAATTCCACTTTGGTAACTTTTTTGGATCAGAAACCGGCCCAGAAAGAGTCTATAACCAACAAATTACAAAAACAACCCCATCAACCTAATATAACCAAAATCTATCTTAACTGCAAAAATATACTCCTCATATCTGAATATTTGCTAATTTAGCTCTATGAAACTTTCAACGGAGTGACGCAAGTTCCAGTGTGGTAATTCGGCAAATATACAGATCCCGGAGGTAAAAACCGCAAATAGGACAGATTTGTGGGTGTCAAAATTACAAATAGGAGTTCACAAAACAGACCCTGGCTTTGCTCCTCATGTCCATCCCCGAGCCCCCGATCCTGCACCGAGATGGATGAGCATCACGGGTTGGCGTCCGAGTGCAAAAAAACTATTTCTAGGGTGTAAAGTGAAAAAAATGGAGAAATTTTTACCATACGTATTCGGCGATGATCTTTTCGGTGGTATCGGCGAGGTCGAGGTTGATTAGATCGTTGAGGAGCGACATGGCGAAAATCTGAAGAGTTTTATTATAGGAGAGAAACCGACTCTGATGGATTTTGAAGTGGGGCCGTTGCGTAATTTATAGGGAGCAGAAAAGATTTCGGAAGTACGATTTGTAGCCGGATTTTGCCCAAATTAGTCCTGCAGTTAATGCCAAATTGCAAACAAGAATCCCTGTGCCAGTGTTACGCTGACTGGCGAGATCTGACCGCATCGGAAATCCAACACGTGTTTGGTCAGTGATGGTAATTGCTAAAATCTGTAATCAATATGATACGGTAAAGAACGTGTTAGGTAGTGAAATATCTATATACATATCTGAAATAATTAATATGTGTTGGTCATATAGTTGCAGACATTAGTGGACCGATTTGAGGCCAATTTTGATGATCAAGAGATCTAATCTTAAGTTTTTAGATATAATAGACATATTCATGAACTCTCTTGCATCGTGTGTGTGTGTTCATCTAGTTTTCTCATATCTATTTTTGTATTCTCTTGCATGTACGCTAACGTATCAAATGCATTTCAGTAACACCAGTTGAAAGCCCCCCCCCCCCCCCCCTCCTCCCTCTTCTTTTTATTTTATCTGTAGCGTGTTTGCAGGTGAGCAATTAGACATTGTTTTTGTAATACATTTAGGTGGAACTATATTTTAAACAAATAATAGAATGCGAATTTAACGCATTTAGTTAAAAAATTAGATGTTATTATGTACGAATTTGAAAGAAAAATTCCTTGGGGACCCTAAATCATGGGATCCAAGAGGGAACATGTGAGGTGTCAACCCCTGGGTATATGATCTACTGTTCATGAACAGTAGATCATGCACCCAGGGGTTGACACCTCACCTATCTCCCCTTGGGTCCCATGATTTGGGGTCTCTGTAGAGCAACTCAATTTGAAACTCCAACTATCCAACACATATTGTAACCTAATAAATTTCAACAATTTTGTTACCCTCATTGGTTTAACAAATTACATGACACGTTTAATAAATATTGGATAAAGTTACCTCTCACCCTCAGTGTTGGAAAACGAACTTAATAAGTTATAGCGTACACTTATATGGGTGTCTAAACGGACCACAAACCCGCACCCGGTAAGGCCAGCGCCGAGCCCGGATCTGGGAAAATCCCACGGCCACACCAGGCTTCGGGCCCGGGTCGAGGTTGGTTCGGCGAAGCTCGACCCAGTCCTGGTTAGAAATATGGTGGGGCCAAAGAACCTGAGTA